AGGATTTCATTTTACTTGGATCCATAATCAATGCTCATGGAAGCAGCAGTCAGGAAATCTACTGCAAAAGACCTCTTAAAAAAACAGGTCAAGACCTTTTCTGGAATACAACATTATCAATGCTAGGATAATATTCATATGTCTACAAGGGAGACCAATTAATACAATTAATTCAAATTTGCTCATTAACCACTAAGCCAATGAAGAAACTGAGTATTTTTATCAATTTCTACAGTCTGAAATTGATCATTCAATCAAGAAACATTGACACTGATGTTTAGAATGTGAAAGTTGGAGACAAGAAGGATCAATTGCTAGAAAATATGTCCTTGGTGATAGAAACAATGCCAAAGATCCTATGATAGAATTTTGAAAAACCAATGACTAATTCATTGCAAATGTCATTTTTCAACGATATTAATAACCACTGTACATATGAACCTTGACAGATGAAATACTCAGGAATCAAATCAAATACATTTGTGAAAAGAGATAATGGAGAAGATCAGTATCATCAGTCCAAATAAAGCCTGGGGTCAACTGCAAAATATATCATCAGTTGCTCATATGCAAGCTCAAGTTGAAGAAAATTAAAACTCCACAAGAACCACAGTATGACCTTGAATTTAGAGACCATCTCAAGAGTAAATTTGATGCATTAAACACTAATGACTGAAGACTAGATAATTATGATATGACATCAAGAATGTCATACATGAAGAAAGCAAAAGATCATTAAAAAGACAGAAAAAAGAAAAGAACAAAATGAATGTCAGAAGAGACTGAAACTTACTCTTGACCATAGAAGTGAATTTACTTGGTATGGTTCTTCTAGCCGTAGTCTTTATAACTCCAACCAAATTACTGGGTTGTTGTTGTTGTGCAGTCAAGTCAGTTCTGACCCTGTAGAGGGTTTCCGAGGAGTGAACCGCGACCTTTAGGTTAGCAATCCAGTGCTACAGCATCACACCAGGACTGGGAGCATGCAAATAGGGTGTGTGGGACTCTAATGTGGGAATTGGTCAGTTTTGCTATCACGCAGGGTATAAAGTGAGCCATTTCAGAGGCAAGAACAGGAGATTTCATGACCTGTTCATGAAAAGCCATTAGTTGAGCTAATCCTTTGAAATCCAAGATGCCTGTGTTGAGACATGGTGGTGCAGTGAAGTGTCAGAGAAACAGCAGCATTAGAGAACTAAGAACACAAAAGTCAGAGCAGAGGAGTGGGGCTCCCTGGCCCATGGAGCAAGTAAAGTTGAATGCCTTCAGGGAAGCTAGGTTTGCTAACGCACGAACCTAGAGTTGAGTGCCTTCAAGCTGAGGTTTAGGGTGGTGTGCCCTTTGAGCATTTAAAAGGACCAGGCAGGGCAGAGGTCAACGGGCCAAAGCTGAGAAGCTGAGGTGTGGCCTGGGGACACAGTAGAGAAGCAGTGTTCCTGATCAGAGTAGTGCTGTATCCCGAGCATTTCTGATCTAGAATTAGAACCTAATAAACTCTATAATCATGTGAAGAAAAGACCACTTTAAGGTGTTCAAAGGGAAAATGTCACCTTGGAGACTGAGATGTATGTGACCCAGCCATAGTATTTTTATTGCCTCATATGCATGCAAAACTTAGACAATGAATAAGAAAGACCTAATAATTAATGCCTTTAAATTATGGTGTTTATGAAGAATACCAAATATGCCAACCCAGAAAAATAAATAAATCTCTTTTGGAAGAAGTGCAGTCAGATGCTCCTTAGAAGCAAATATATCTCATGTACTTTGGACATGTTATCAGGATAGATCAGTCCTTGGAGGACATCATGCTTGGTAGTCATTGTGGTTGTTGGGTGTCATTAAGTCAGTTCTGACTCACGCTCAGCCGAACAAAACACTGCCTGTGCCTGGTCCTGCACCAACTTCACAACTGTTGTTACATTTGAGCCCACCACTGCTGTCACTGTACCAATCCATTTCATTAGGGGTCTTCCTGTTTTCAGTAAAATGACCCTCCATTTTACTAACCATATTGTCCTTCTCCAGTGACTGGTCCCTTGTGATAACATACCCAAAGGATAAAAGACAAATCTCACCATCCAGTCTTCTAAGGAGCACTTGGCCTGTACATCAAGGAGCTCTGGTAGCGTAGTGGTTATGAATGGGGCTGCGAACCGCAAGGTCAGCAGTTCGAAACTACCAGTTGTTCCACGGGAGAAAGATGAGGCGTTCTGCTCCCATAAAGATTTACAGCCTCGGAAACCCTGTACAGGGTCGCTATGCGTCAGAACTGACTCCAAGGCACATAACAACAACAACAACAACAACTGCCTGTACTTCTTCCAATACAGATTTGTTTGTTCTTCTGGCCATCCACAATACTTTTAGTATTCTTCTCCAACACTATAACTCAAATGCATCAATTGTTCTACAGTCTTCCTTATTCTTATCCAATTTTCATATGCATATGAGGCTATTGAAAAGACCATGGCTTGGGTTGGTCTCATCTTTGCTCTTGAACATTTTAAAGAGGTCTTGTACTGCTGATTTGCCTAATACAATATGCTATTAGATTCTTGACTGCTGCTTCCGTGAGTGTTCACCGTAGAGCCAAACAAAATGAAGTTTTGGAAAACTTCAATCTTTTCTGCTTTTATCATGATGTTATTTATTGGTCTAGTTGTGATGGTTTTTGTTTTCTTTATATTCAGATAAAAGCCATACTGTTGTCTTTGATCTTCATCAGTATTTTAAGTCCTCTTTGCTTTCAGTTAGCAAGGGTTTCATCATCTGCATATTACAGGTAGTTAATAAGTCCTCTTCTGATTCTTATGCCACATTCTTCTTCATAGTATCCAGCTTCTCAAATGATTTGCTCAGCATACAGATTGAATAAATATGGTGAAAGAATACAACCCTGGTGCACACCATTCCTGACTTTAGACCATTCAGTGTCCCTTCATTCTGTTCTAACAACTGCCTCGGTCTATGTACAGGTTCCTCATGAGCACAATTAAGTAATCTGGAATACCCATTCTTCATAATGTTGTCCATAGCTTGTCATGACTCACACAATCTAATGTCTTTGTAAATATCTTTATGGTATTTTCTGCTTTCAGCCATGATCCATCTGATTTCAGCAATGATATCCCTATTTCCAAGGCCTCTTCTGAATCTTGCTTGGATTTCTGGCAGTTCCCTGTGGATGTACTGTTGCAACTATCTTTGCATTATCTCCAGAAAAATTTACTTGCATGTGATATTAATGATATTGTTAGATGATTTCCACATTCTGTTGGGTCACCTGTCTTTGGAATGTGCACAAATATGGATAGGTAGCTGTCTTGCAAATTTCTTGGCATAGATGAGTGAGTGCCTCCTGTGCTGCATCAGTTTGTTGAAAGATTTCAATCTGTATTCCATCAATTCCTGGAGCCTTGTTTTTCACCGATGACTGCAGTGAAGCTTAGAAATTGTGCTAAAAAGAAATGGTTGATGTTCAACTTTTTCAAGAAGTAAGAACCAATGGTACTAAAGGTGCAATGATAAAATATAGTGTCAGCAAAAAAGGAAGACTCCCTACAAGATGGATTGACACAGTGGCTATAACAATGAGCTCAAACATAAGAAGTATGAGAATGGTTCAGAACTGGGCAGGATTTTCTTTGTGTTGTATGTAGGGTCACTATGAGTCAGAACTGACTCCACAGCCCCTAACAACAATAGTGAATTGTATTCAAGGGATAGGGGTGGGAAGAAACTGGAACTACACTAGCTGCTAACAATGTTGTTAAGTGTCATTGAGTCAGTTAAGACTCAAAGCAACCCTGTATAGGGTTTCTAAGGAGTGGCTGGGGGGGTTGAACCTCTGACCTTTTGGTTATCAATCCAGTGCTTATCCTACAGCACCACAATAGTGAATTGATAAAACAATCAGAATATGAAAGATTGACTTGTGGAAATTCAATAATCTCTTGAAATAGGATCCTGTTCCTTTGCCTTGTCAACATTATCCTTGAGTCCCTGACTGGAGTAAGCGCTTGACTATTATTCTACTAGCTGAAAGGTTGGTGGTTCAAATCTAAAGGCACCTTGGAAGATAAGCATGGCAATTTGCTTCCAAAAGGTCACCGCCTTGAAGACCCTATGGGGCAGTTCTACTCTGCACACCAATGAACAACAGCAGAAACTGCCCAAGTTGGAGCTACATCTCTGCTTCTTGCTTCCTTCCCCAGCAGATGGAAAGAGTCACAAACATCTGGTTAGCTTCAGGGCAAACTTTCAGTTGTTTATGGAATCTCTCCAGCTGCACATCTAAGAAAAAGATGAGTACTTAAGCAATTGACACTTTATGAGCTACTTCCTGGTTCTGGTTCTTTAGACCCATCAGTTTCTCCAGGTCTGGATCTGACACTCCTTCACAAACAACCCAACTGCATGCCATTCCATGATCACACCAGGCACTGGGAAGTTCTTCCCCAAGGTTTTCTATTAATTGCACCGTGCATTGCACATAGTAGGTGCTTGATAGCCAGTTGCCATAACATAAACTTCTGTGCTCCATAGTTTTCAATCGTTGATTTTTCAGAATTAGATTAGCTGGCAATCAACTTTCTTCCAAGGTGCCTCTAGGTGGAGTCAAACCTCCAACTTTTAGCTAGCAGTCAAAGTGTTAACAGTTTCTGGTGCTTAATAAAGAACTCTGGTGTGGTACTACAGGATCAACACTGGACTGCTAATTACAAGGTCAGCAGTTCAAACCCAACAGCTGCTTCTCAGAAACCCTATATAGGGTTGCTATAAATCAGAATTGACTCGATGGCACTTAACAACAACAACAAATTAGTAAACTAACTCTTATAGTAATCCCCACAGAGGATCTGGCAGCCTACTGGCAGATAAGCTGTAGACTTCGTATTCACGACCCCAGGAAACTGTAGACTTGAGTGTTAGATCACAAAACTGTTTTCTCCAATAATGAGACCTGTTCTGAACCCGTCCCCTTTTCTACTTTGCAGAGGCAGAGAAGCAAAGGCAGAAGGAGTTGGAAATGCAGTTAGCAGAAGAACAAAAACGCCTGTTAGAAATGGCTGAGGAAGAGCGGCTAGAGTACCTGCGACAGAAACGGGAAGTAGAAGAGAAGAGTTGGCTGGAGGCAGAGGAGAGGAGGAAAAAGGAAGAGGAAGCAGCAAGGCTAGCTCTCGAGGAAGCCACGAAGCAAGCCCAGGAACTAGCCAGGTACAGTATTTGGGCAGCATGGCCATAGGAAGATTTCCAAGGGCTTGGTGACCTACTACTTGTACCACCCTTTCACTGATTTTAAACAAATGAAATGTTGCCACTTTCCAAAGCATGACTTGGAAGAACTACATAAAACATGATGATTCTATTGCAGGATTCCTTCATGGCTTATAGTAGGACTTGTATTCACAAATTCATTGTATGTCGAAGCTTGAAGGGAGTTTGATGTTGTTAAGTGTCGTTGAGTCTATTCCAACTCATAGAAACCCTGTATAGGGTTTCCAAGGAGCGACTGGTGAGTTTGAACCACCAGTCTTGCAGTTCAAACCCACCTGGTTGAGTGCTTATCCTATAGCTTATCCACACCAGGACTCCTGAAGGGAGTTTAGAGATTATCTATCTTTAACTTTTTTTGTGTACAGTTGAGAAAATTGAGTCCCAAAGAGGAAAGGGATTGTGAGAAGGCTGACTAGTGAGTTAGAGACAGTGCCAACCAGAACCAGCTCTAAAACTCCCTGATCCTAAAGTCATTGTCTTTCTCAATAAACATTTACAGAATGCTTCTTTTACACCAAACACTATTTTTGTTGTTATGTGCCCTCGAGTCAGTACAGGCTCATAGAGAACGTCTACAAAACAGAATGAAACACCTCCCAGTCCTGCGCCAACTCACAATCGTTGCTGTGCATGAGCCCATTGCTGCTGTCACTGTACCAATCCATCTCATTGGAGGCCTTCCTCTTTTTGGCTGACCATCCATTTCACCAAGCACGATATCTTTCTACAGGCACTAGTCACTCCTGGTAATATATCCGAAATCTGGCAATCCTGGCTTCTAAAGAGCACTCTGGCTATACTTCTTCCAACACAGATTAGTTTGTTCTTTTGGCAGTCCATGGTACTTTTAATATTCTCCTCCAACACCATAACTCTATTGCATCAATTCTTTTATGGTCTTTTTTATTCACTGTCTAACTTTCACATGAATATAAGGTTATTGAAAACACCATGGCATGAATCAGGCACATCTTAGTCCTCAAACTGAACATTGCTCTTGAACATTTTAAAGAGGTCTTATGCACCAGATTTGCCTAATGCAATATGTCATTTGATTTCTTGATTGCTGCTTCCAAGAGTGGTGACAATTGATCCGAGCAAAATGGATTATTTGACAACTTCAATCTTTTCTCCATTTATATGGATGTTGTTTATTGGTCAGTGGTGAGTGTTTTGTTTTCTTTACACTGAGATGCAACCCATACTGAAGGCTGTGGTCTTTGACCTTCAGCAGTAAGTATTTTAAGTCCTCTTTGCTTTCAGCAAGCAAGTTATCATTTGTATAATAAGTCTCTCCAATCCTGAAGCCACACTTTTCTTCATATAATCCAGTTTCTTAGATTATTTGTTCAGCATACAGATTGAATAAGTATGGTGAAAGAATGCAACCCTGGCACATACCTTTTTTAATTTTAAACCATTCGGTGTTCCCTTGTTCTCTTTGAACAACTGCCTCTTGGTCTATGTACAGTTGCCTGATGAGCACAATTAAGTGTTCCAAAACATTCAGTCTCTGCAATGTTGTCCATAGCTTGTCATGATCCAAACAATTGAAAGCCTTTGCATAGTCAATAAAGCACAGGTAAACATCTTTCTGGTATTCTCTGCTTTCAGCCAAGATCCACCTGATGTCAGCAATGATATCCTTCATTCCATGTCCTCTTCTGAATCCAGCTTGAACATCTGGAAGTTCTCTGTCAATATATGGTGGCAAACATTTTTGTACTATCTTTAGAAAAATTTACTTACTTGCAATATTAATGACATTGTCCAACTCATAGTGACCCCTGCATAGGGTTTCCAAGGAACAGCTAGTGAGTTTGAACTGCCAAATGTGCGGGTCAAATTGACCTTGTGGTCCAGTACATATCTTACAGCGCAACATATCACAAGTCAAGGTATGAATTTTTCCTTGGTTCTTTCAGCTTGAGAAACACTGAATGTGTTCTTCTCTTTTGTTTCTAACTCTAGATCTTTGCACATTTCACTATAATATTTTATTTTGTCTTCTCAAGCTGCCTTTTGAAATTCTCTATTCAGCTCTTTCATCTCTTCATTTTGTCCATTTGCTTTAGCATCTCTACATTGGAGAGCAAGTTTCAGAGTCTCTTCTAACATCCACTTTGGTCTTTTCCTTATTTCTTGTCTTCTTAATGACCTTTTGCTTTCTTCTTGTATGATGTTATTGATGCCATTCCATAACTCTTATGGTCTTCAGTCATTGTACCCAATCTGTTCTAGACACAGAAAAATCAGAGATAAGCAAGATAGATTAAGATCGTCTCTCCCATGGATTTACATTCTAGGCATGGGAATGGGGAGACAGTATCTAAACAAATAAAAATATTTCCTAAGCTGGCAATACTTGCTAGGTTGAAAATAAAATGTAGATGTGATAAAGTTGTAGATGGCTTGTTTGAAATTGATTGATCAGAGCAAGACTCTCAAAAGAGGTGGTATTTAAGGTAAGACATGACTGACAAGGAGTCAACACAAAGATTTGGGAGAAAAAAATATTCTAGCGAGAAACAGTAAGTATATCCCCAAAGAAAGGAATGAGACTGGCTTGTTAGAGTAAAGAAAGTTAGTATGGTGGGAATGAAGTGCACAGGGGCAAAAAATACATTCAGATGAAATCAAAGAGTTGGGCCAAGACCAGATCTCACAGGACCTTGTTGTAGAAATAGAGAATCAAAGTCATTAGAGGCTAAAGGCATTACTTTCTCCTTTTATTCTTTGCAACTTTGTGGTAATTGTTGTTGTTGTTGTTAAGTGCTGTTGATTCCAACTCATAGCTACCCTGTATAGGGTTTCCAAGGAGTGACTGGTGAGTTTGAACCACCGACCTTGAAGTTCAAACCAACTTTCTTAAAACAGCCCTACCTAGTTGTTATGTCATTAATTTCCCCTCTTAAGTTCATGTAAAAGACAAATAGTCATCTATCAAAGACAAAAGATAAAGTTTCATATAATGGGTATTCTGGATCCTTCTACTCTGTATACCATTTTTTGGTAAAGACAGCATTGGCTGACTTGCTAATGAACTATAGGGCTGAGCTGTATTAAGTTTATACTTGACTCAGGGGATCAGCTCTGTGAACTCCATTGCATGAAGAGAGCAAATTTTTGCCTTGATTGTGAATGTACTTCTTGAATGTCTTTTTTTTAAATGTTTTATTGTGAATTATATGGTAGTTTACATGAGAGAACTTTAGTTTTACATTCATTCCATCGTATATCATCTCATTTGAATGTCTTTTTGAAACACATTTTGTTTAGTAATATGTGGGTTTGTTTTCTTTTGCATCATACTAAATATCACCCTACTGTTTTTTTTTTTCCCTTCCCCGGGGTATTTTATACACTACTCTACAGGTCATGCCAAAAATGGATAAAAATTTAAATGCCAAAATGTTTATGAAACTGCTGTCTAAATATTGATTACTACACAGTATAAATAAAAGTTTCTCTTAGTTGAAAAGAAATAAAGGTAAAGACACAGAACATAGTGAGATTCCAAAATTAACTGTAAACACTTTTCCCCTTGAAATATATTTTCCACAATGTAAGCCAATTCTAAGCTAATAATACCCTTTGGTGGGGGAGGGAAGGGCAGAAAGAGTGAGCAGCCAAAACAACTCTACTTCAAGGTTTTTCACCTAACCTTGAGTTGATCTTCCCATAGACTTTTTTTCAGTTACTCATGTGAAGTACAAAACAAACCATTAGGAAAGTGTTGATCCAATTTCAAAATTATGTATTCCATGTATCACAGTAGTAGGGCTGGTTTTTTAAAAGACTTGAGACCAAAAGCAAGCTATTAAGAGTTCCAACTTTCTACAAAAGAAAACACAGCCACATAAAGAAAAATTGAGCAATTTTATCAGGCTAGTTCAAGTAGTTCAAAGCAGAAAATCAAGTAAATGAAGGGTGCACCTGGGTTTACTTCAGTCTCTTGTGTGTGACCCTGGCCCAGATACTTCAACTTCTCTAAGACTTTCCTCATCTTTAAAGCAAGGAAGTCCCAGCTAGCAATACAAATTAAAGAACTGTGAGCCATGCTTTACGTTTACTTTGCCAATAGGAGGCCAGCGATGTTCTAAACCTATGTGAAGTTCCTAGATGAGCAGTCATTCATGATCGTCCACTAAAATGCATGACCAACAGTCCCAAGTCTAACTGATGACTGCTCAAATCCAAAGTTCTTCTACTAGTTTATAAGAAAATTGTCTAGGGTACTTAATCAATATTGGAATTGTGTGTGGGGTTGTCTCCTTAGGCAAAAAGCTGCTTTGGAAGAACATCTTCATTTCCATCAAGAGCTCCAAAAGGAAGCCAGAGGCCTGCGCTGGACACAAGACATTTCTAGACCATGGGTCTACTCTTATTTCCAGTTCCTACAAATGCCCAGGCCTTAAGGCGAAAGAGAACTAAAAGTAAGTTGGGAGATGGTGACAGAAAAAGTAGCTTTCTTTTATAATGAAGTTTCATCCTAAACTTAATTAGTACCATTTTACCTGGTTCACCTCAATCTAAGATTTTCTCTACACTGGTTTTCAAGACCCATTTCTAGTATATATAACCCTTCCTTCAACCCAATTAAAGCTCTTTCACATCTAGATCCTTTATATTCTCTAGAACACATAAATCCAGAAACTTAGATGTCTAAAACTCAGAATTTCAGTTTGAAACACTACCTTAGAATAATCAAAGTATTTCATTTCAGTGTTTGAAGAGTTGAAGGTAAATGGAAATTCTTGAAGTTGAAGGTAAATGAAAACAATTATGAATCAGCTAAAAGGAACTTGCTGTATAATTATAATTTTATTACAAATCTCCTTATGAGGCAAAATGATTGATTTCATCCTGAGAATATAAAACTTAATGTTTAAAACAGGATGTGTGAAATCACTGGGTACTCATTTGAGCAAAATGATCTGCTTTGTACAACTATTTTCACATCTGCAAATAATAGACTCGGCATTATGGTAACAATAGGCATGTGTGAAGGAGACCTGGTGGTGCAATCGTTAAGCGCTTGGCTATACCGCAAACCTTGGTTCAAACACAGCACTGCTTTTCCAAAAAAAGATGTAATGAACTGTTTCCATACAGATTACAGTCTAGGAAACCCTATGGGGGCAGTTCTACTATCTCTGAATTGACTCAACAGCACATAAGGGCCATGTGGCCATTTAAATTTTAGAGTCTTTAGTCACACTAGCTACATTTCAAGTATTCCATAGTCACATGTATTTATTGTACTGGACAGCACAGATTTAGAACATTTCTGTCATCACTGACAGTGCTATTGGACAACACTGTTCTAGAGATTTGAAAAGTAACAAAATCTTAAAAAAAAAGATTTTTTTTAAAAAAAGTGTTTGCTCCTTGAAGAGCCAGTCATTCACAAAATATATTCCCTCCCATTTTAAATCACACTATCAGAAAGGTTCAATGGATTATACAATTTATCTTTAAAATGTATCTTTAATATGTAATAAAGCATCCCTTTTAACAAAGGGATCTATCATATAATAAAATAAATGAAAGAAAAAGAGCTTTAAGCAAATTTGTTAAAAGCATGTTGGGAGTCTCTGGATGGTGCAATTTGTTAAGTACTCAACTACTAGCTAAAAGGTTAGAAATTCTAACCCCCCTAGAGGTACCTTGGAAGACAGACCTGGCAATCTGAAAAAAGTCACAATCTTGAAAACTCTATGGAGTACTTTTACTCTGCACAGAGTTGCCATGAGTTTAACAAATACATGTTAAAGCAGTATCTGAAACTGAATTTTCTGAGTTCCCACTGGCCTGAACCTACAGTCCATAGCTGAAAGGTTTAATATTGGCAGATAATTTCCTCCAAATTCTCACGAATGCATATAAGGGCATTTGTTTTCTATAGGAGGTGTACCTCTACAACCCTTAATTTAGGATCTACATTACTGACTTATAGTACTTAAGTTTTTGTTGTTGTAATTGTTGTTGTTGTTAAGTGCTGTTGAGTTGATTCCGACCCATAGTAATTAGGTGCCATCATATTGGTTCCGACTCATAGTAACCCTGTGCACAACAGAACACAACACTGCCTGGTCCTTCACCATCCTCACAATTGTTGCATTTAGGCCATTGCTGCTGTCACTGTGTCAATCCATCTCACTTGTGCGGGGGAAGGGCAGATCTTCCTCTTTTTCCCTGGACTCTCCACTTTACCAATCATAATGACTTTCTCCAGTGAATGGTTCCTTCTGATAACATGTTCAAAGGATGAAAGTCAAAGGCTCTCTATCCTAACACCTAAGGAGCATTCTAAAGTTCAGGTGTGGTGCTGAGGATTAATGCACTGGACTGCAAGGTTGGTTTGAACCACAAGAAAAGTGGTTCAAGCTCACCAACAGCTCCTTGGAAACCCTATACAGGGTCACTATGAATCAGAATCAACTCGATGGTACTTAACCAAAACAACAAGGAACATTCTGGCTACACATTTTTTTTAACACAGATTGGTTTGTTCTTCTGGCAGTCCATGGTACTTTTAATATTCTTCGCCAATACCATAATTTAAATGCATCAATTCTTCCACAGTCTTCCTTATTTCATTGACATATCACATGTATATGTATATGAGGTTATTGAAAATACCATGGCTTGGATCAGTCGTACTTTAGTCCTCAACTGACATCTTTGCTCTTGAAAACTTTAAAGAGGTCTTGTGCAGATGATTTGCCTAATGAAGAATGTCATTTGCCTAATGCAGTACATCATTTAATTTCTTGACTGCTGCTTATATGAATGTTGACAGTGGATGGTAGCAAAATGAAATCTTTACAACTTAAATCTATCTCCATTTATCTTGATGTTATTTCTTGGTCCAGTTATGAGGATTTTTGTTTTCTTACATTGAGGTGCAACTCATATTGATGGCTGTGGTCTTTGATCTTCATCAGTAAGTATTTCAAGTCCTCTTGCTTTCAACATCCACATATCGCAGGTTGTTAATCAATCTTCCCCCAATCTTGATACCATGTTCTTCTTCATTTAATTCAGTTTCACAGATTATTTGCTCTGCATACAGACTGAATAAATATAGTGCAAGGATACAAACCTGGCACACACCTTTTCTGATTTTAAACCATTTAGTATCCCTTTGTTCTGTTCTAACAGCTGTCTCTTGTTCTATGTACAGGTTCCTTATGAGCACAGTTAAGTGTTCTGGAATTCCCATTCTTCATAATGTTAGCCATAGTTACAAAGTCAACAGCCTTACCATAGTCAATAAAGCACAAGTAAACATCTTTTTGGTATTCTCTACTTTCAGTCAAAACCCATTTTACATCAGCAATGATACCCCTAGTTCCACATCCTCTTCTGAATCCAGCTTGAATTTCTGGCAGTTCTCTGTTAATGTACTGTTGCAACTGTTTTTTAATTATCTTCAGCAAAATTTTACTTGAATATTATTTTAATATTATTTGGTGATCTCTGCATTCCATTGGGTCACCTCACTTTGAAATGACCACAAATATGGATCTCTTCCAACCCATGGCTCAGGTAGCTATCTTCCAAATTTCTGGGCATAGATGAGTGAGCACCTCCAATACAGCATCAGTTTGTTGAAACATTTCAATTTGTATTTTGTACATTGTTGGAATCTTTTCACCAGTGCTCTAAGTGCTGCTTGGACTTCTTCCTTCAGCACTATTGGTTCTTGATAATATGCTACATCTTAAAATGGTTGAACATCAACCAATTATTTTTGTATCAGTGACTCTATATATTCTGTCCATATTCTTTGCATCATTCAATATTTGCCCATAGAATCCTTCAACATTTCAAAGTGAGGCTTGAATTTTTTTCTTTCAGCTTGAAAAATGCGGAGCATGTTCTTCCCTTTTGGCTTTTGTAACTCCAGATATTTACTCATTTCATTATAATACTTAACTTTGTCTTCTCAAGATGCTTTTTGAAATTTTCTGTTTCTTTTGCCTCTTCCTTTCTTCCATTCGCTTTAGCTTCTGTTCACTCAAGAACAACTTTCAGAGTCTCTTCTGCCATCCATTTTGGTCTTCTCTTTCTTTCCTGTCTTTTTAATGGCCATTTGCTTTCTTCCTCGATAATGTTCTTGATGACATCCCACAACTCTTCTGGTCTTTGGTCATTAGTGTCTAATGAATCACAACTGTTCTTGTGACGGTCTCTAAATTCAACTGGGATATACTTAAGATCATTATGTTGCCTCCAGTAGACTTGTTAGAATTTTCTTCAGCTTCAGCCTGAATTTGCATATGAGCAATTAATGGTCTCTTCCACAGTCTGTACCTGGTCTGTTTTGGCTGATATTGAACTTTCCTACACTCTCTTCCTCAAGAGCCAATGATACTGAAGGAGGAAGTCCAAGATGCCTTGAAGGAATTGGCAAAAAAAAAACAAAAAAAAACAAGGCACCAGGAATTGATGAGATAAAAATTGAAATCTTTCAAGAAAGTGAGGTGGCACAGGAAGGCACTCACTCATCTCTGCCAAGAAATTTGGAAGACAGCTATCTGGCCAACTGATTAGAAGAGATCCCTATTTGTGCTCATTCCAAAGAGAGGTGACCCAATGGAATGTGGAAACCATTGGACAATCTCTTTTATACCCCAAGCGAGTAAAGTTTTACTAAAAGTAATACGAAACAGCTGCAAGCATACATTGACAGAGAACTTCCAGAGGTTCAAGCTGGATTCAGAAAAAGCCATGGAACAAGGGATATCATTGCTGATGTCCAATAGATCTTGGCTGAAAGCAGAGAATATCAGAAAGATGTTTACCTGTGCTTTATTGACTTTATTGTGCTTTATTGTGTGGATAATGACAAGCTATGGACAACATTGCAGAGTATGAGTATTCTGAAACACTTAATTGGGCTCATAAGGAATGTGTACCTGGACTAAGAGGCAGTTGTTTGAACAGAACATGGGAACACTGAATGGTTTCAAATTAAGAAAGGTGTGCAAACAAGTTTGTATTCTTTCACCATACTTATTCAACCTGTATGCTGAGCAAATAATCCAAGAAGCTGGGTTATATGAAGAAAAACATGGCATCAAGATTGGAGGAAGACTCATTAGCCACCTGCGATATGCAGATGATACAACCTTGCTTGCTGAAAGTGAAAAAAAAAAAGGACTTAAAACATTTACTGATGAAGATCAAAGAGCACAGCCTTCTGTATGGATTACATCTCAATGTAAAGAAAACAAAAATCCTCACCACTGGACCAATAAACAACATTCTTATCAACATAGAAAAGATTGAAGTTGTCTAGGACTTCATTCTTCTTGGATCAACTATCAACACTCATGGAAGCAGCAGCCAAGAAATCAAACAATGTATTGCATTAGGCAAATCTTCTGCACAAGACCTTTTTAAAGTG